TATGTCCCCCGATGTGCCAGCTATGTCCCCCGATCTGTCCCCCGATTTGCCAGCTATGTCCCCTGATGTGCCAGCTATGTCCCCCGATGTGCCAGCTATGTCCCCCGATCTGTCCCCCGATGTGCCAGCTATGTCCCCCGATCTGTCCCCCTATGTGCCAGCTATGTCCCCCGATCTGTCCCCCGATGTGCCAGCTATGTCCCCCGATCTGTCTCCCGATGTGCCAGCTATGTCCCCTGATGTGCCAGCTATGTCCCCCGATGTGCCAGCTATGTCCCCCGATCTGTCCCCCAATGTGTCAGCTATGTCCCCCGATCTGTCCCCCGATGTGCCAGCAATGTCCCCCGATGTGCCAGGTACTTCCCCCTCCTGTGATGCGCCATCAGGCCGACGACACTCTGTCCATCTCCACCTCTCTCTCGAGCCCCGTGCGGCCGGAGCGCAGACTTTTGCCCAGGCGGTCCGAGTTTGGCGTGACAGACAGGACAAACCAGCTGAGGACGATGAACACGCAGCGAGCCGTGTTGACACTTTGGAAAGTCGCGATCTCCTCCTCCTTCATCTGGAGGAAAATGTACAAGGGGAAATGTTGGAGGACGGGAACAACTGCTGTTGTCGTTTTAGCGAGAGTTTTATGGCATCGTGTCTGAATTAGGTCACTTCAGTCTTCCCGAAGATTTGAGATGTTACTGGAGGGTAGCAGAGAGAGAGAGAGAGAGAAGGAGGAGAGATAAGGACAATAGATGGTAGATAGGAAAGAAGGAGGAGAGATAAGGACAATAGATGGTAGATAGGAAAGAAGAAGCAAGTCACACCAGAGCACCCTCCAACCACCCAAGCTCATCATGAATACAACATTTCACCCAGAAAAACTTTCCCAGCAGGTAGCTTCTCAGGCAATTGACAAATTCCAGCTGCACTAACAAAACAGCTGCAAACCCCAGCTGCCGTAACTAAACAGCTTCAGAATGACTCTTCCAAAGCCCTAGCTATGCAGTGCTAGCAAAGCCCAAGATGACCAAACTGGCAGCACACCCTTTGAATGAGTGTCTCACCCAGAAGCACACCCTTTGAACGAGTGTCTCACCCAGAAGCACACCCTTTGAACGAGTGTCACACCTACAAGCACACCCTTTGAACGAGTGTCACACCCAGAAGCACATCCCCGAGCACAAAATCTAAAAGCCCATTCATAAAAGTCACTGCAAACTAAGGTTCCGACACGTTTTCTTTGATGTAAGCCTAAAGTGGGTCAAAACAATAAAACGGGATTTACAGCAAAACCCTAAAACATTTAAAAGTTGACACATTTTCATCAACACCACTCTTTAACATGGGGGCAGGGTGGTGTCGCTGTCTCAAAATGAGCAATGTGTAGGCAAGGTTACTGTAAGTCATATATTTGAGTCATCCTGTGTGTGCATCCAAAGAGCGGTTTTTAACATAGGGCCCAAAGAGAAAAACTTTTTTATTACTGGGTCAAGATTATTTTTTAAAATAATTTTTGTTTGGTCGCTGGCCTGCAGCAGTGCCAGGCAAAGTTTCGAGGGCAAAGGTAAATTTCTCCGAGAGCTAGAATATTTTCTTTAACACGGTGAGAGGAAAGTGAACAAGCTATAGTTCTCCTATGACCGTGGCAGTAAAGGGGAACAAACTCTGGATTCACTTCACAGAAAAGACAAAATGAATGGTTGAGTCTGACAATTTCAGACAAAGTGATATTTACATATATACAGATTCATTCTATGAGGGGGCAAAAACTAAGATTTACATATATATATATATGTAT